TAATGGGAAGCTAGCATGCCCTGGGTGAGGGGAGCACAGTGTTACTGGTTTTGCCTGTGACCAGCGCCTGCGCCCTGGCCTCTAATAATTGCTCTTGGCTGCTCCCAGTTGGAGGGCTTCCCTCCCTGAACACCTGTAGTGCTGCCTGGCTGGGCTGGCCTGCGGTTAGTATCATCCCCCTTGGGTCTTTTATGAGTGTGTCTGTACCCCCCACCCCCTCCTATATTGTTCATTCCGGGGGGCGGGGCGAGGACTGGTGCTCATGGGTTTTTTGTCCCCACCGTGAATTTTAGCATCGAGGTAGACACAGTAGGGGCCAGATAAATGCTGATTAATGAGTACCTAATTCTCTCTTCCTAATTGACTCTGTCCTCAGTTGCCATGTCCACCACAGGAGACAAGATTCTTGACACTGCGCTGTCCAAGGTAACATCTTCCCCCAAAGTCCTGGATGGCTCCCCTTTTTTTCCTTCCCCTAAGAGAGTCACTCTGAGGCTCTTTGCCCAACAGATTGGAGAGAAGAGCCTGTTTACCAAGGAGCTGGAACATGCCCTGGAGAGGAACGAGTAAGTGAGGACCAGAGAGTATAGCACCCCTCAATCTCTTGCTGGGATCCAGATATTAACAAGGCTGCACTGCCTTAGACCATCAGATGGGCATAAGTGGGGTTCAGGCTTCCAGAAGGGAGAGTTTCCTGATTTGAGTCTTGGCTGTCTGGTGTGCAAAATTGGCAAGGGGAGTGGGGTAGAGGGCAGGCAGGGAGCAGGTCTCGAGGCCCTCAGGGCTTGGGGACGCCTGCTTCCTGAGCTGCCCTTGGCCTCATTGCTGAAGTAGAGCAGCACTGAGCGAGGGAGGCCGGGGCCGGCTACTCAAACCCCTTCTTCTTGCTCTACTGTCCTATCTTGTAGAGTGGACCTGGTCGTTCACTCCCTAAAGGACCTGCCTACTGTGCTACCTCCTGGCTTCACCATTGGAGCCATCTGCAAGTAAGAGTCGCTCGAGCAATGGAGCCTGGACAGGGGATGGACCTCAGGGGACCCTTTGCTTTTCTGTCTGGGACTTGACCCTCTGCCTTGAAGGCTCTCTGTCCTCCAGCATGGCAGAAAACTCAGAAAATACGTTAGTTGGCTATTGAGGGAGAATAGATGTGATCTGAATTAAAACCTTGCCCTCATTCCATGACCTTCCCTCCATTCCCAGGCGGGAAAGCCCCTACGATGCTGTTGTCTTTCACCCCAAATTTGTGGGGAAGACTTTAGAAACCTTGCCAGAGAAGAGGTGAGTGTGACCTGGATAGGCACCTGGGTGGGATGGGCACAGATGGGGGATGGGAGGAGGACAAACAGAATAGGGCTGCCTAGTATTAAATGTCATTTTAAACCCTCTCCTCGGTGCAGTGTGGTGGGAACCAGCTCCCTGCGGAGAGCAGCCCAGCTGCAGAGAAAGTTCCCACATCTGGAGTTCAAGAACATTGTATCCTTTTATAAAAGGAAGTGGGCATCAGCCAAGGAAGAAGACAGAGTCTCAAGTGTAAGGGGCTTCCAGAGCGAGTGGCCCATGGGGGGAGTGAGCTGTCTTTTTATTTATTTATTATTATTATTATTATTGGGTTTTATTATGTATGTGGTGCTGGGGATTGAATCCAGGGCCTTGTGCATGCAAGGCAAGAGCTCTATCACTGAGCCGCATCCCCAGCCTGAGTGAGCTGTCTTTCTATCCACATCCATGCATCCATCCACAGTCCTTTAATATTTTCTTAGCCCCAGACAGGTGCCTGGCACTGGAGATAGTAATACTAAGATAAACATTGTCACTCCTTACACAGTTTACATTTCAGGTGGACAGACACAGGCATTGACAGTACAAAGTAATACTTAACAGTGATTACTCCTGGAGAAGTAGATGTTGCCTCCATTTTTACTTTAGTGCTACTATATTGCTTTGATTTTTACCTTTTTTTTCCCCCAGTACTGGGAATCGAACTCACAACCTCACATTTGTCAGGCAGGTGCTGTGCCACTGAGCTAAATCCCCAGCCACTGTTTTGATTTTTATAATGCCTATTTAGTGTGTTTCATAAAATTAACTTTTTTTTTTTTTTTTGAGACAAGTTCTTGCTATGTAGTTCAGGCTGACGTTGAACTCACTATGTAACCCAGTTGGCTTCAAACTTGAAGCCATCCTCCTGCTTCAGCCTCCTGAGTGCTGGGATTACAGGCTTCTGCCACCAAGCCCTGCTTCATAAAATTCACTTTGAAAATAGTATGTGCTAAGTGCTCCAACAAGCAAAAAGGTAATTCTCTAGAAGCATGTAGCTGGAACATTCAAAAACAGACTTGTTGGTCAGGAAAGAGTTCCCAGAAATTTTGTAACTTTGGGCAAGTTATTTAACCTATCATTGTCCTCATCTGTAAAGTGAAGCTGTGATAAAACCTGCCTTGTGCACTTGTGCAAACAAAATGAGTTGCCATAGGGAGGCTCTTTAGAACAGCTCAGTTAAAAGTGTGGTAGCTATGCTCATGAAGCTGAGAACTGCAGTGAGAAGTCAGCCAGTTAGAGAGGAAAAGACTAAAGCAGAGCAAACTGTTTGTGGCTCCGTGGGTCCTTAGCATCTCTCCACAGCGGGGGAACCTCAACACCCGACTGCGCAAGCTGGACGAACAGCAGGAGTTCAGTGCCATCATCCTGGCTGTTGCTGGCCTGCAGCGCCTGGGCTGGCAGAACCGCGTGGGGCAGGTAGGGCCACCCCTCTCCTTAATCTATATCTCCCTTCTGCCTGTGTTCTCTTTTTTGTTTATTTGAGACTGGGACTCGCTTTGTAGTGCAAGCTGGCGTTGAACTCACTATGTAGTCCTGACAGGCTTTGAACTTGTGGCAATCCTCCTGCCTCAGCCTCCCAAGTGCTGGAATTACAAGCATGTGCTACCACACCTGGCTTGTACTCTCTTCTTGAACACCCACCTTTAATACTAACACTACAAGCTACGAACAAGTCCCAGGCTGGAAATCAGTGGCCAGACTCCTGCTTATGTTGACCCCTGGTTTTGTAGATGATAGGCATGTCCCATCTCACTGCTGGGTGCTTGGGGCACCCCCACCCCCACTTTTCTGACTGCCTGTTTTGGTTCCACAGATCCTGCACCCTGAGGAATGCATGTATGCTGTAGGCCAGGTGAGCTTGAGTGGGGAGGGCACTAATTAATGTGCCCCTCTCTCTTCTCAACCAAGACAGCCTTAGGTATCTGCTTCCCTGGGATGTCACTGGCACAAAAGGCCTGGGGAGCAGATAGAGAAGAGGTGGTTTCCATCCTTACGAGCACTGGCTGGAGAGAAAAATCAAACCTGTTGTTTTCCATCAGGGAGCCCTGGGCGTGGAAGTCCGAGCCAAGGACCAGGACATCTTGAATCTAGTGGGTGTATTGCATGACCGTGAGACCCTGCTTCGCTGTATCGCCGAAAGGGCCTTCCTGAGGCACTTGGTAGGGCCTGCGCATCCCCTGTGAAGGGCTGGGGACTTGGCTAGCTGGGAAGGACAAAGGGCCAGGCTGTGCATGTAGTTCTAACTTGTCCTTGAATGTTGGGTGTGGAGGGGACCCAGGTCTGGGCCCTGAGGTCTGTGGATCTGCAGGCTGTGGTCACAGGGTGGAACTTGTCATTGCAGGAAGGAGGCTGCAGTGTGCCAGTGGCGGTGCACACCGTGATGAAGGATGGGCAGGTAAGCAGGGAAAATGGGAGGACACAGAGGAAAGGACTGTGGCGTTTCTCCCTGTGCATCCCAGGTTGCTAAGCAGTCCCCTCTTAGAATGTGCTGAGGCCACCATTTTCTTTCTCAGCTGTACTTGACTGGAGGAGTCTGGAGTCTAGATGGCTCAGATAGCATGCAAGAGACCATGCAGGCCACCATCCACGTCCCTGTGCAGGTACCCAGGCTGCAGGTGCGGAGGGAGTAAAATGAACACACGTAGGCCCTAACCCTAACCCTTTGTGCTCACCCAATCCCCCTCCCACCCTCCTGCAGCATGAAGATGGCCCAGAGGATGATCCCCAGTTGGTTGGCATCACTGCCCGGAACATTCCGCGAGGGGCCCAGCTGGCTGCTGAGAACTTGGGCATCAGCCTGGCCAATTTGTTGCTAAGCAAAGGAGCCAAGAACATCCTGGATGTTGCACGGCAGCTTAATGATGTCCACTAACTGGCGTGAGGGGCACAAGTGCCTACACTCGGCCTTCATTCAGTTCCTTGTGCTAACTGGGGAGTGATTACCCCAAACTGCAGGATCTGAGACTCCAGCACTTGCCAGTTGCCTTGCCTGCTTCCTCTCTTTAGAGGTGGGGGCCCCATCTCTTTAGAGAAAAAGTGAAGTCAGTCTTTGAATGTAACCAACTCTAATAACCAGCTCTGAAGGTGGTTTTTTGGTGGGGTTGGGGTGAAGACATGGAATAAACAAAACCCTTTAATCTTGAGTGTGGGCTCTCTATCCAAACTCCTCCTGGACATCCTTCGTCTCACTTCAGTAGTTACTTCAAGCAGAATCAGCTGTTTCCCCGGGAACACCAAAACAGCAAGAGAAAAATCGCCTTAAAAATCCTGTGTTCTAAATTGGGCCTGGTGGCACATGTCTGTAATCCCAGCCCTCTGGGAGGCTGAGACGGGAGGCTTGAAAATTCAAACCCAGCCTAGGCTATTTATGGAGATCCTGTATCAAATTGAAGAGGTAGGGTAGCCGGGCGTGGTGGCGCACACCTGTAATCCCAGCGCTCGGGAGGCTGTGGCAGGAGGATCGTCGCTGCACGTTCGAGAAAGAGCTAGGGATGTTGCTCAGTGTGAAGAGCCCGGATTCAACCTTGAATACAACCAAAGAACACACACACAAAAATTGCCTGTTTCTTCTCCAGTGAACGGCAGCTTATTTACATTTACGTTAGCGTCTCCCACCCTCAATACCTGAAGGCAGGCATGCAGTCATCAAGCGTCCAACTCTTGCAAAATGAAAAACAAGACACTTTTTAAAAAACCCTTTAATAAACAAAACGGTCCATTTCAAACTGCCCATTACCTAAAGTTCTAGTTCCGGGTGGGGTAGCTGCACAATTCCAGTTCACAAGCCAACGGAGGCTCCGTCCAGCCGGGGATCAGCTGACTTGCGTGGTCTCTCGGTGCCGGGGGGAGGCGGGGCTCGAACACTCGGCCGCTCGCACGGCCAGCCCCAGCGCGAGCCGGAGGCCTCGGCCCCCTCCCCAGCTCCTCCCCTCGCGGAGCTTTGTCCTGGCCGCGCCACACGGGCCCACGAGCGAGGGCGGGGAGCGAGCGGCAGGGTCGGCGGGCCTCCACGCCTAGCTCAGCTCTTCTCTGCCGCCGAGGCCGCGCGCCCGCCGCCGCCGCGGACTCACCTTCAGGGCGCCGGCCCGGCCGGGTGCGAGGCCGGGGCTCCGGAAGTTGCCGAGGGCCCGAGGCCTCCGCGCGGCGGGGGAGGGGCGGGCGCGCGGACGGGGGGCGGGGACGCGGCCCCGCGTGGCTCAGCTCTTTCTGTGAGGCGGTGGTGGCCCTTAAAAGGGCCTTTGTGGGGGCCTGAGGAGGGCCGGGGGCCGGCGCGGGGCCCTCAGTACTCCTGCGAGGCCTGCGTGGCCTTCTTGCCGCTCGCCGGCGCCTTGGGCCCCACGGTGGCGCTCGTTTTCTTGGGCAGCAGCACGGCCTGGATGTTGGGCAGGACGCCTCCCTGGGCGATCGTCACGCCGCCCAGCAGCTTGTTGAGCTCTTCGTCGTTGCGGATGGCCAGCTGCAGGTGGCGCGGGATGATGCGCGTCTTCTTGTTGTCGCGCGCCGCGTTGCCCGCCAGCTCCAGGATCTCGGCGGTGAGGTACTCCAGCACGGCCGCCAGGTACACCGGCGCGCCGGCGCCCACCCGCTCGGCATAGTGGCCCTTGCGCAGCAGCCGGTGTACGCGGCCCACCGGGAACTGGAGGCCGGCACGCGAAGAGCGAGACTTGGCCTTGGCGCGGGCCTTGCCGCCAGTCTTGCCCCGGCCGGACATAGCGGAAGAGGTAGACCAGTGAAGAGCAGCGCCTCTGAAACACAGCACAAACGCAGCCCGCCGCAGCCCAACTGCTGCCGCGTTCGGCTCGAGCCGTCTTTATAAGCCCCACAGGGTACGCCCTCGCGCTCTTCTGATTGGCTCTTTTCTCTTAACACCCGCCTCCGGTTGGTTGCGATTAACCCTTCCCTGACGTCCCTCAGTGGAGGGAGCGCGCCCTGCGATTGGTAGAATTTGAAAACCTTTTGCCCGGGGGAAGACGGCGAGGAGGAGTGATAGCACGTAGCCAGCCAACCCCGTCCAGGGGCGGCCAATCTAAGGAAAGCGCGCGAGATTTAAATGCTACAGCGGGACACCAGAACTGCAAGACAAAACGAGTGGATTCTGAAGCCACTTAGCCTCTGGCAAATTTTGTGCTGGCATAAGATTTTTAAAAGGGGTTAATACTACACCATCTTTTTCCTATCCTCCCAAGTCTAGTCACAACCCACTCAGTCTTTTTAAGGAAAAGGGGGGGGGGTGCTGGGGATTTAGCTCAGCGGCAAAACGCCTGCCTGGCAAGCGCAAGGTCGTGAGTTCGGTTCCCGGTACCGGAGAAAAACCAAAAAAAAAAAAAGCAAGGGGAAAAGGAAAGAAATGAGACCTAAAAATTCAGTCCTCTGCCAGCAAATAGGTTCTACCAGCCCTCCATTCTACCTATAAGTATCACTATTTTCAACATTTAATATGTTCTCGGGGCTGGGGATATAGCTCAGTGGCACAGCGCCTGCGGCGCAAGCGTGGGGTCGTGAGTTCGATTCCCGGTACCAGGAAAAAAAAAAAACAAAACCACAAAAAAACCACATTTAATATGTTCTCACTGGTCTCGGTTCTGCTTCTTTTGTTTTTTGTGGGGTCTTTTAGCCTCCTTTTGGTCTTTTTGAGACAAGGTCTCGCTTTGTGGTTCAGGCTGGCTTTGAGCCCACTTTGTAGCCCAGGCTGGTCTCAAACTCGCAATGATCCTCCTGCCTCAGCCTCCTGAGTGCTGGGAAACAGGCATGTGCCACCACACCCAGTTCAGTTCTTTTCACTTCTTGCTAAAAAGGATCTGCTGGGGCAGAGATAGGCATTCTCTTGGAAAAGGAACCTCCACTAACTCTCCCAAACTATTCTAAAATATTCATACAGGAAATTCACCTACAGGAACAAGACGAAAAAGGTAACACTTTATTGTCACCATTGGGAGCACCTGGCCCCTCTTACTAATCAGAATACTTAATTTATAATCAAATATCAAGTCACCTTTGAGCCAATGTCCCTAGTCCTAGCCCAGGTTCTATCTCAGGCCCAGCATATTCCTTGAGAGGACTCTGAAAGCTGAGTTGTGGATATCTGCATAAAAGCTGCTACATCCCGCCTTAGGCTGTGATGGGTAGGGAAAGTGGCAAGTTGGAGGAGGCTATAGGCAAAGTCCAATTAATAGTCACTGGAGAGCAAAAATGGCCCCGGATGTGGATAATCACAGGTGAAGGAAAATGCTAGGAATAAAATCTGGAGGAGAGTAAAGACTGGGAGAGGCCCACAGGACCAGACAGGCTGGCCCGAGTCAGGACCCCTGGAGACTGTGTGGTAAAGGGCAATCTTCGGGAACTCAAACATCATAGAAGAGTCGGACAAGCTGGTACCGAATGGAGAAGGTGACGGCACTGCCCAGGATCTGCAAGGAGAAAAGGACTAGAATAAGAACCACAGAGAAAGGGAAACGAGGGGGCACAAACTCACCCCCACACTCACCTGTAGCAGCAGCAGGAGCACTGTGAGGTTCCTCTCATGTATGGGCCCAAAGATCTTAAGTAGCAAGTTGATGAGGGTCATGTTGTTACACTCAGTGAAGGCCCCATCCTCATCCTCACTCTGGTGCACTGTCACTAGCTGGAGTCTCTCTGCTACCTAGAGGGACCAGAGATGGACAGAACTTCAGCTAATACCTGCATTTTAGGAACAGGGATGTGCTTAATCTTCCAAGCTCCCTCTGGATCTAATGTAGGCCTGGGTTCCCCATTCCCCAAGTTCAGGATGGTGGCCTGGGGCCTTACCTCCTTGTTACCTTGTTACCTTTAAAATAAAGGTGCCCAAGAAAGAGAGACTGTTGGTCTTGAACTTGGAATAACTCATCTCCAGTTTGCCTGTCTTGGTATTGAGTCTGTAGAGGGAAGACAGCTTCATGTGACTGGGTCACTACTCAAAGAACTTTCTTCTCTGGAGTTAACTACTAGGAAAAGTGCTGAACATGGAATGAGATCTATTTCTGGCTCTGCTGCTTACTACTCTATGATCAGAACTACTGTGAGTATTAAATGAGATTATATAAGTAAATGTGCTTTGTAAACTTAAAGGGCTACCTACATAAAAAGAGTTAGCCTTTCTTTGGGCCCACATTCTTTGCATAGCAAATGTAGAAAATGGCTTTAGCTATGCCAAGTGAAAGGCTTTCATATCTCTTTTAAGCCCCCAAATGGCTACCTGGGTATACGATGGCGAGGGCAGGGGATGATATGCAGGAGCTGAGGCAGTGAGTAGAGGAAGTTGAACACCTGTGGCATGAAGAAGAGTAGCATGGTCTTGCTGAAGTGTCCCAAGATGCCTACCACGGCAAAGGTCATGCCAGCAAAGTAACAGAAGGTGTCTCCCACAAACACTCGAGATGGGTACCTGTATAGGGGAAAGGATCTGAGCCAGTGGCAAGAGGCATTAGCAATCCTTTCTCTCACATCATACATGCTAAGTACTTGGCTAACTGCGACATTTGTTTTTTGTTTTTTTTTTGTTTTTTTTTTTTTGGCATGGCAAGGTCTTGCTGTGTAGTCCAGGCTGGCCTTGAACTCACTATGTAGCCAAGGGTGGCTTCGAACTCATGGTGATCCTCCTGCTTCAGCCTCCCGAGAGAGCTGGGATTACAGGCATGTGCCACCACACACAGCCACCCTGACCCTAGTACTGAGAGGAGACTCCAGCTGTCCTAGCAACTCTGCAGAACCCAAGTCCCCATAATTATTCCTGGGGCTCCACAGCGCTTGTCTCCAACTGCTGAGAAAAGAGAGAATCTTGGAATACTACCAGGCTAGGGGTGCAACTCAGTAGTAAAACACTTGCCTAGCGTTCAAGAGGTCATAGGTTTGATCCCTGGTGCCGCAAAAAAAAAAAAAAAAAACAGAATACACCAATGGAACTCCCAGATAACGATGAGCAAAAGTATGCACAAGTTCAGCCTATCAGGAGCTGGGTTAAGATTAGGACTATCTTTGCTATATAATGAGACAGTTGTCTCCCTTAGCCACAGGCCTCCTTACCAGTTATGGTAGAGCAATCCCAAGGTGGTGAAAAAAAAAGGTATCATGAAGTAGAGGGAAAAGATATGATCATCCCGATAATCACCTTGGGAAACAGAGGAAAAAGAAGGCAAGGTTAATACCCATTTCCCCTACATATCCTGCTCCTAATTTTGTCTGTCTGTTATCCCTATCTCTGTAGCCAGCTGCATTTCTCACCTCATCCCAGCTACTTTCAAGAACCCATTATTCCTTTCATGTCACCCAGGCAGTTCCCAATATCTCATCAGTTTCATGAAACCTTCAAAAACTAGTTAGTCTTGAGTTTGTCCAGGCATTCTGACCTGTTTGAACACGAGCTTTACTACCTAGTGTGAAACATGCTGATAACACACATCATGCACAGCTGCCTTTACACGGGGTCCTGGGCCTTAGCATTAAGCTGCATCTCCAGCTCTTTTAATTTATTTTATTTTATTT